CTATCTAAGCTTGTGGCTTGCTTTTATTTTTAAATTGCACAATTTTAAATGTTTTGTGAGATTAATTTTGTCACTTTTTCATTAGAAATACTACGTTTCTTTGCTTAAAAATCATTTTCTCAAAAGTCATATTATATCATATTTTCTTTGAAAAATTTTAAAGATTAACTTCACTCATGTTTATCTCTGTTGCTTTTATTTTGGCATATACTGTGAGCTAAGGATCTAATTTTATATTTTCTTGCATCCAGATAATCTGTCATATTTCACATTTCTGGATCTTACAGACATGTACCTAGTACCACAGCTCTGTCATGACCAAAAGCTCTGTTTTCTATTCTAATGCTGAATTATTCTGAGTTCCCATAGCTTCTAGGTGTCTTATATTCATGTTAAATTCTCAAGCTTATTCTCCCTTTTCATATCTTTCTTCTAAGCTATGCTTAGCCCTTTTGCCCTCGGAACTGTAGATCAACTTCGATGAAACTTAATGAGAGGATAGACTACACTGTGGAAACCCAGCATGTGCTTGGGTTTCTCATATGGAAACATACGACACCTCTCCACTTATTCAGACTTTCTGTACTTCCAAATAGTTCTGTAGCTTTTCCTATAAATTCCTGCATACCTTAAAATCTATTTGTTTATTCATTTTTATTTGTGGTTAAGAATAACATTTTGGGGGCTAGGGAGATGGATCAGTAGAATAAGTGCTTCCCTGGCAAACACAAGAGCCTGAGTTCAATCCCCAATTCCACAAAAAAAGAAAAAAAATAGAATAACATTTTTCCCATTACAGGTAAAAATTGGTTATATTAATGCTGATCTTATAAGCAGAAATGTTCATATACTCTCATTATTCCTAATTGTTGGGTTTATAGATCCTCTTGAATTTATATATACATATTTAGAATTTAATATATGTATATATTTAATACATTAATATATTTACTATATTTGTATTTTATTTTATATTTAATATATGTTAATATATTGATGTATTTATAATATAACATATTTACATATTAATATATTTAATGTCTATTAAAGTCTAAAAGAAAATTTTAAAGAAATTCTTTTATATATTTTTAAGAATATATTATATATATATATATAAAATATATTATATATATACTCTTTTCTACTTTTTTTGGCCAGGATATGCACTAAAACTCTGAATTTCTGAATAGAGGCATTGATTCCTTACCTTTGCTTTATTTTCTAGATATTAACAAGAATATTTCTGAAATTTTTCCATTTTATAAAATCTTTGTTGAACATCTTTATATTTACACTGTTTATCTAGTTAAATCTCAACTCAATTTTACAAGGAGGTTTAAGAAATATTTATTAAGTGATCACTATCAATAGACATCTTGCAGTTGAGATTTTATAGTAACTATTTTTCTACAGTAGTTTCTGTCATGGCTTACTATTAAATCAACCATCCTTTCCAGCATCTTGAATATTTTACTTTATATTATATATCATTTTTATTACTTGTTTTGGATAGGTGAACATGTATGTGTATGTGTAACTTTTACTGAATTTTGGTTCTCATAATAGACTTGAGATTTGTCCCCCAAAAACCCAGTTTTGAAGGCATTATTCTAAGTTGATTCTTAAAGAACTTTTCTACTTAGGTGACTTCAGCTAATACTGACATATGGGCTAATTTAAGATCTTTTAAGCTACCTCAAGCTATTGAATAAAAATGATCTTACTGCATTTATCTGGTTCTCCTCATTTAAGTTGTGTATTTAAAAAAAAAAATCACCATTCTGTTTGCTTTTTAAATGTGCCAAATCTCTCTCTCTCTCTCTCTCTCTCTCTCTCTCTCTCTCTCTCCCCTGTAGCTTGCACTTGCCACTTATTCTGCTGAGCTATCTCTCTGGCCTCTCCCACTTGTAAAAAAAAATCCATTTTTTTCCTTTAAAAAAAAAATCCTTTAGAACTGATATGCTGTGCTGAGGCTATAGCTCAGCAGCACAGGTGCCTGCCTGGAAAGCACAAGGTCCTGAGCTTGAACCCTGGGCCAAAAAAAAAAAGAAAAAGAAAAAGAAAAAGAAAAAAAGAAACAAAGAAAGAAAAACTGATTTGCCTTTGGTTGTATTTGTGACTGTTGTATTACTTTATTATTATCTGCTTTGCACAGATGGGTTTCGTGGGCATGTTCCTAGTGTCCTAGTACCTCAAAGGGAAATAGAGTTTTGTAAGAGTTATGTTCAAATAAGAATAACCTTGAAATTGAATACTCCAGAAAGTTAGCGCAGTATTTTTCCATAAGCAACTTTCCATTGACATACCTGATTCCATGCAGTGAGGCTAAAAGAGTTCACCCTCTTAAAATCCCTTGATGTTGACTAAGTATTGTGAACTTTAATTGACTTAATAAGCTATTACCCAATTTTGAACAGGGTAGGTTTCCATTTGGTTTTGTTTTAAATTCCAAAAATTATAATAATCCAATTGAGAAAGGTCTGAGTAGGCAGAAATTTGTAAATATAGTATATGAAGATTTTGATATGCATTTGTTACTAATATTAAGGAGGGTACACAGGCAGTAATTTTTAATTACAATGTATTGTTTAAAATGATTTCTGGCTAAGTTCTGTAGAACTTTCAAGTGTTGGTAGAAGTCCTTATGACTATGAGAGAGAGAGAGAGAGAGAGAGAGAGAGAGAGAGAGAGAGAGAGAGAGAGCCTACAACAAGCCTACCATGAATGCAACCAACCTGTGAATTATATTATTTAAATGTCACAGTGATGAAATTGAGAAAGTTGAGGGATTGTCTTTGTCAGAAAAATAGCAATAATCTAACCTCTTTGGAGTTGCACAAACAAAAGACTACAGTTAAGCTTCAAATAGTAAACTGTATTAATTTATTGGAATATACTCACTTCATTCAGGATGTTTACCTCAGCCACAACATACCAAGCCAGGTTATAAAGAACTAAGCAACCATCTGTTTTAAAATATATTTCTAGATGTAATTTTCAGAAATAGGACACCTTATCAGCAAGGATGATTTCCTAATAATTTTAGTTTAAAACCAAGTAAAATCTTCCATATCCTCATCTTCATCCATCCTGTTTTGAAAAGCAAAATCTCTACTCTGCTGAGTCACATTTTAGTATAAGATCAAATGTAATGACAAAAAAAAAAACTTTCCAGTGTGTATCCACTATGAAATTTTTCAGAGATGTCTACAATGATTACTTTCCTGTTACTGATGTTTAGCACCTTCTTTAGCTTTCCCCACTGTTTCAGACTGAAGTAATTTATAATGTAAACAGAGGTCTAGTATGTAGCATTATTAAAACTAATTTAATTAATATTATTTAAATCTTGATGCCAGTATGGGGTATTAGAGGGCTGACATGTCATTCCCTACCCCTAACACCTATTCCCTTTCTCCCTTGTCATAAGCACAGTGTTAATATGATCTTTTCTACATTTGTGAGCGTACCTAGATATGTAATTTACCAAATGTCATAATGAGTATTGTCTTTCAAAATACAGCACACCCTTGCCCTCGATAACTGTTGATTTGGTTTATAGTATAGAAAACAATGACATGTACTTGGCTACAAAAGCAATGCTAATTTTTAATTAGATAGCCTAAATTATCTGAAATAGCCATAAAATTATTCTGGGTAATGTAGTCCAACATTTAGTAGGTCCAAATATTTATATTTTTCCAAGGGTATTTGTTGTTGTTTTTCTAGATTATCTGGCCAAGAAGAGAAGTTTTATTTTTCTGTGAACTGAACATTATATATCTGTTTGGTTATAGCAATGTGTAACTAAGGTAATGATAATAAAAATTTCACAAGAAGTCAACTGGTTCTATTGAAATATACAAAGAGAAGGTCTCTGAAACCCATGCATCAACTGTAAAAATTTTACAAAGGGCCTTTACATGTAACCCAGACTAAACAATATCATAAAATAGGCATTTAAAAGCATGGTTTTACTCCAATATCAAGAGGTACTTTATATGACTTTTTACCTAAAATGTTTAATATGAATTTTGTTTAACTTTTGGTTCTGCAAATCACACTGAGTACTTATCATGTTACTAAAACAAAAGTGACAGAATTATCTATATGCAAATGTCTTAGGATTTTAAAAATGGTTTTCACTGGTAATTTTATGTATTCCTTTGCCAACAGCCTTATAGATTTTTATGGAGTGGTTCTGGTAACTGTTGGAGAACAAGGCAGCATTGTGTCTTGGTAAAAGTTTGCTGTTTTGTTTTTATATTAAACCTCCAAAGCTCCCAGCATACTGCCAAGGAGAAGCCTTGCTTTGCCTGCACAGGGCCAGTATTTAGCCTTTTGCTTCTAAACACTGCACCTCAATGCAGTGAGATATTTCCGTGTCTCATAGTCGAGGGAGGCAGATTAATAGGAAGTTCTAGCTGGAAATTTCTTCCCTGTTATTGTTCCCCCTCTGCAATTGATGGCGAAGTTAATTCTCTTTAGTTTTGTCATGCTCTAAAGCACACATTGCCAAGCCATGGTAAGCTTTATGGGGGGGGGGGGAGAAAAAGCAGTGGTGTCCATCAAAGTCTTAAAGTTGCATTTTTTAAACTTCAGCTTGACCTGATGGGCCATTCAAAAAAGCTTCAAAAGATTATTTTTTAGAGAAAGGTTCAATATGTCCCGAGGCTATCGGTTTTGAGTTAAACTGGGTGAAGTAGAAATATTTTACTCATCAGCTTTGCAGTCACAGAGTTTGCCTCAGCTAGAACAAAACTGCTGAGGCATTTAGAGAAAATTAACCCCCCATCCTGGCGGCCAGATGTGACTGGTTTCTGATGAATGCGCATGAGTGGGCTGAAAAATCAAGGGACTGTGAAATTCCTGTCAGGTCCGTGCAGTGCAGAACGGGCCATTGACTGCTTTCTCTATTTCCCTCCATCATTCTTCTTGAACACCGCCATTAATTTCCTCTCCTGCTCTGACTTGTGTTTTCCCCTCCCTCTTGCCTTTAGCTCTGTCAGCTGCAAAGAAGGCTGCGGGAGCAGTGGCAGGAGCACTTCCGACTGGTGGTCTTCTTCAGCCTGATGAAGCTGGCCAAGTTCCAGACAGATTCTCAGGAGACTATTCAGAAAATATTAGCTGTGCAGGTAGGTGATTGCAGGGAAGTAGGAAAGATCATTCTGATCTAGATTGAAAAGCAAATGATGGGTAGTGTGATGAAGCATTAAAACCATATCCCATCAGACTTTTATAAATTTTTAACCTCTTTAATAAACTGGGATTGCATGAAGGATGAATTCAGTAAGTTAGCACATATACCATGCATACTTTGGGGGAAAAGAGAGAGACGACTTATTTCTCACAAATCTCTGGGCAGATTTTTATAAATATCCTTGGTATAAATGTCTTTTTTTTCGAATGTTCAGGCTTTGCAGTCGCCACACAGCTGTTTAAATGATGTCGACAATACTTACCTCTCAAAGCTGCCGTGCAAAACCTGCTTCAGTGAAAACGACTCTCTTATGTTCATGTTGTCTAGCTTTGTCTTTCCCTCCTATGTGTGGGGAGGTAGGCTTATGTTCCCAAGCAGAGCTGGAGATGCCTAACTGAAACACAAGCCACTTTGGGCTCGAAAGTAACTTGTGGCTCTAGGTGCATGTGAATTTTTACTACCTGTGTTTATCTCTGTAAAAATGTTTAACGGACCAGTTGTCTTCAAGATTTTGAAATAATTGAGAACTCCATGTTAACTTTATGAAGACCAAGACCACCCCTGAAATATTACTTAAAATTGCTTTCAATTAATTTTTACAATTTCAAATGTTACAGAACATGTTAAATATAATGTCCCAAACAAATTGCGCACATGCATGCGTGCACATGCACACACACACACTTTCTTTTGCTATTAAAAAACCCAGAATTCCCATTCCATGAAAAACAAAAACAGGGCCAAAGACTCCAGTGTTCAGCAGGTCACAGCACATGTCAAGAAAGCCAAACCCCAAGCTGAGCCTTTTTTCAACTTTTAGCTATGAATCGTGTTTCTTTCACTAAAGTAAAGAAACATGTTGCAGGGCCTAGGGAGATAGCTCAGTACAATAAGCACTTACCTGGCAAGCTCAGGGTCCTGAGTTCAATCCCTGGTACTGTAAGCAAGCAAGAAACAAAGATGTTGCAGATCATTTCCAAACCCATTGGTCTATTTCAAATTTCCTTTTTGCTGATATCCAGTTGTATTTTCTTCTGAGCAGTGTGTATGTGTGTATGCATGTAGCTGTGTGTATGTGTCTGTGTTTGCTTTGTATATGACTTTTATTGGTAATGGTTCAAAACAAAGTATGAAAGCAGTAAGAAAAAAGTAACTATAAGTTGTGAAAAGGCAGCAGCTAACCATGTTGGGGCTAACAGAAATATTTGTTCTGGGAAATATTACAATATCAAATGTTACAGAACATGTTAAATATAATGCCCCAAACAAATTGCACACATGTATGTGTGCACATGCACACACACACACTTTCTTTTGCTATTAAAAAACCCAGAATTCTATTCCATGAAAAACAAAAACAGGGCCAAAGACTTCAGTGTTCAGCAGATCACAGCAAATGTTAGGAAAGCTGGGATACAAACCACAACTGCATTAGTTTGGAAGTCAGAAATGTCTTGTTTTCCTTAAAAAGTCTATTAACACAGAATACACTAAAAATTATAGAAACTCCCAGTCTTGGCAGCCCAAGCCTGCAAACCCAGAATGAAGATCGTGAGTTCAAGGTCAGCCTGGCCTATCTATCTTTCCCTAAGGCAGTGAATCAGAGGCCAAGCTGATCTATGTAGCAGAACCCTGTCTCAAAAACAAACAAAATGATGAGGTACCTATGACCTGTGATGCTGTTTTAGGTATTCAAACGTTACCTGTAATTTCTAATTAGTGTCTTTAAAACATACATATTTCTACTAAAATATAAATGTTCTGAAATATCTTACGAATGGTAACTTCTTACTCTGAGCCACAATGTATTTTTCAAATATGAAAAAATCATTTCAATACCCATAAAGTGAATTCCTAATCTAAAACCTTCCATAATCTTTATTGTAATCTTTCATTAGAAAAATCACTCTTTCGTTTACCAAAACTTGATTTTTAAGTGGAATATCTGTAAGGCTGATGCATATAATGGAAATGACTGAACAAGAACAGGCTAGAATAGTGGGAACTTGGCTGCTCAGCACCTAGGGACACAGCAGAGAGCTATGGTTGTATTTAGGAAACTCAAGTAGCATCTATAAATGGTTTCTTTGATTATCTACAAAAGATACCTTCAATTTAGTGTATTTTAGCTCTAACCTTTAAATATGAATATGAAAAAAATAATTTTCAGGATCATACCACAAAACTATGGAAACCTGCATAATCCTCTAGAGGGGAAAGTCATGGCTGACCCCTTCAGCGTGGTACCCAGTGACTGCACGGCCAGCTCCTGCTAACTTTCCCATCTACGTCTCCTGCCATGTTTCAGCACCTCCAGAGTTCTGAGTCAGGAAAGCTGCTTTTCAAACTCCTCTCCCCTCCTGTGTCCATACTGTGCAATGCTCCTCTTTGTCTTAGCTGCTTGAATCCATTCACCTAATCTGCAGTTCCCAGGTCTTTTCCCAGCCTGCCTTGGTTTCACACACTAAGTTTTGTTTTTCTTACTTCTTACTGGACCCTAGACATGTTATTATGCTGCAGTTGTGTTTTCAGCTGTTAACCCTCCATGCTTCTTGCTGTACCCTCCCTTCTAGAAGTTTCTAAGCTTTTTCTGAATTTTATACTGTCCTTTTATTTCTCCCTCAGTTGTTCTAAAGGTGTGTAGCAACAATGTGGATAAGGAATTTGTTGAGTGCCAAGCACCTTTCTACTTGTCCTTGACGATCTTGTTTTTTAAAAGGAAAACATGGTAATGATTTAATATATTTAAGAAGTCTATTGATATCAGTATAGACAACTTGACTCAAAGTGGCTAAACATTGCCTAGCAGACCAAATGTTATGGCTCTCCATGTTCATATGATTTCCTCTTAGAATTTCTTTAAGTATCGATGTTTGAGAATTTGAATAATGTGTTATATTTTGAAGCAAGTGTTAGGATAATGCTGCTAGATATTAGTAAACTATTAGATGAGAAAATTAGTTGATGAACTTCATGAAAATGTAATTGCATATAACATTGTTGAGTACAAGCAATCTAAATAAATGTTTAACTGAAAAAAGAAAGATTGGCTTTGACCTGAGTTTAAAGCCTTGGGACAGTTCCTTGCAGGCCCAGACAGGCAGTAGTCACAGATCTGTAGTTGGCAGAGGCTCAGGCAGGCCATATAAGCATGTGAGTTACATGATGGAGCAGAAACCAATAAGATGAATGATAACTGTGATGAAGAATCCGCATGCTTTACTTTGAAACCACTTATATGAGAACGATGTGGGGATTTTAATTGACTACAATATTAATATGAGCCAAAGTAAACTACTACAAAGTTGGAATCAAAGCTGTGTCCTAACTATAGCAATCATTTATGACTTCTTGGCTCTCTCAGTGTATTTAGTGCTATTATTATTTACTTTTTACTATGGTTTTTCTTTTTTCTTTTCAATTTAATTACTGTTACCATTTTTTTTTCTTTTCTATTTCCATTTTGTTTAATCTTGTGATGCCTCATACCTTTTTGGCATTGGATTTGGAGAAAAAGACTAAGCCCTAGAATCACTCAAAGGAAAGAGAGTGATGCATCCAAAACATATTAATGTCTCCTTAAGCTATATAAGCAGGAATCCTTTGGTCTGGAAGGTGATGCTAAGTCCCATTGCATTTTTTAAGTTGAATACATCTGAAGTATCTCATGCAGTTTGAACAGTGTAGTTTAAGGACCATGTTAACATTCTAAGGTAGCATTTAGAAAGACAAATATCTGAACCATGCAAATAAATTCAACATATATTTTGATGAGTTCTAGGTGCAAATACTGGGAGGAGAGGATGGAAGAGGTTAAAAATGTGGGTTTGGACCCAATAGTATCAATGATATACAAAGTAAGACTTTCCAAGGATGCACTAACGGTGCTCAAGCAGAAAGGAGAAAAACATAGGCTAGGTGAGCTGGGGAGAAGATGATGTGTTGCTCGGTGGGAAGCCAGCCCAGGGGCTCTTCCTCAGGCCTGTGCTCCTAGAGTGTTCCCATGACTTTTTTACACATGCACATCAGGCTGCATCTGTGCTCTCTCACCTGCTGGCATGTGAGCCTTTTGAAGTAGAAATTAATGTGCTTTTCTTCGTCATTGTCTCCCTAAAAACAAAATTACATTTTTATAATATGATAAGTACAAAAATTATGTTCACTTAGTTAATTGATTTATTAGTAACAATAACCTCAAAGGTTCTTCCCAGGTCTAGCCACCCATGCTTTCATAGGTTAACAAATAAAAGCATTCACTAGTTGCTTTGCCAGGAATTCTGATGACACTGAAGCAATGTATTCAATCGTTTGATACACACACACACACAAGTGCATGGATGCACACACACTCTCCTACATATAAGAACAGTCTAATATCCCATAGTATTTGGAAGACAATGGGACAAATGAAAGAAAGCCAGAAATATCAGGACTAAAAGCAAAATCACTCAGCAATATGATGAATCTGTGATTTCTTTTTTGGAAGACAAAATAAACTGTAGTGTATTTTTTGGGATATATAAATATATATTTAAAGATAATATGTTTGAAGAATATATTCCTATACATTTAAAATAATATCCTGGAGGAATAACATTAAATTGCTAAATCTTACTAATGCTAGATAATAATATCATTGATAGTTAAATATAGCTGCAATAATTTAAGAATATGTACTAAATATGTAACATTAGAATGTGTCGTGCTGAAACAAATGGAAAAAATATAGTACCATAAAAATCCAGTAACTGAAAATACAAGAAGAAAGAAAAATATTAAAATACATAAAATAAAGACATATATTTGTTATATTAGCCAAATGGTTATAACATTATGAATAGTTATTAAAAGTAACTGTGAGACATGGTGGCACACTTTTTTTTAATTTTATTTATTTATGTGTGTGTGTGTGTGTGTGTGTGTGTGTGGCCAGCT